GCTTTGTGAGTCACAGCTGCCAAGGTCTTTAGCTGCACAGTCATTGAAAACAACAGAATACCTTGCATAGTGGACCATATACTCCATAGAGACAGGTACTGAACCCTTTGAGAAGAAAGAACACACACACACACACACAGAAAAATATACACGTATGTATATGAATAAAAGCTTATTTCTACCAGATAACGGCTTTTCAATATGATGTTGCTAAGCTGAGGGAAACGCCACGAGCCACGGTGAGAGATGGATGCAGTTGAGCTCTGTGCCAGCGTGTAGTGGGAGCTTTGGCATGAGGTGCTTCTTGATTCAAAATCTGGCTCTTTTTGTTTTTAAACCTGGTGACTGGAATGGCTGCAGTTTGGATATGATATGTCTCCCCAAAGGTCTTTGTGCTGGAAGCCTGGTACCTACACTAGCTATTTTGAGAGAGGGTGCAACTTTAAGAGGCAGGGCCTGTTGTGAGGTAATTAGGCTATCTCGGGGTCCAAAAGGACAATAAAAACTCCTTTGAGGGGATGAATGCCAGGCTTGAGAGGTTTGCTCTCAAAAAACATTGCTTGTCAAAAAGTAAGGCCAACCTCCGACATGGCCTTTCTGCACGTGCATACTCCATTTGTCTGTGTTTTGACATAGATAGGGGCCCTCACCAGAAACCAAACAGATGTAGGCACTTCATCTTGGGCTTTCAGCCTCCACAACTGAGTTGAAGAAACTTAATTTTTTTCTCTATCACCCAGTCTCAGGTAGCATGGGCTAGTATAATGGTTAATACAACTCGGGACCGAGTGTTTTCGTCTGCGTAAAGGGATGCCTTTTTTTTTTTTTTTCTCCCCATGCCTGGTTCGTAGCGGCCAGCCCCAAGGCTGACATCTGAGAAGGCCAGGTTGCTTTGACGTCGTGCGTGCTCATGCAGCGTCAACCGTGATGTCCGCATTGGTGCTGCCAGCCTCTTTCTCTGTGTGGTGAGGACTTTGGTCCTCTCTGCTTTGACCCCGTGAACTTGGTTGGCTGCTAGTCCTGCTGTTTGCTCTCTCATTTTTGTGATTTACCCATTTGCTTAAGGTCAGTTGTTCCTGAGGTGGGTCACCCAGTCGCTGTGCTCTGAGAGTGGTGAAAGCAGGAAGGCATGTGTAGGAGGGAGGGATGGTGCCGGGAATGTGGGGAGATGGAGTGAACCCGAGTCTGCTGAATACACATAATCAATAGATGGAATCGACGTGTTCATGAAAGTTACAGGCCCTGCTGTGTGAGCTGTTTGCCACGGTGACAAGAAATGCATCTATTTCGTTCCCCCTCTCCTTCGGGCAGGATAGGTGACAGGGTAGACTACCTTTGTGACAGAATGGTCCAGAAGTGCCAGGCCACGTCTCTCATGTCCCTGTCCTCTACCCAAGGTTTTTTTTGGGCCCTAAAATCTCCAACGTAAACCTGGGATTGTCTAAGCTTCTCAGAAACTTGGGCCTTTCCTCACTCAGTCAGCATTGGTTATTTACCTACTAGGTACAGAGCTCTGAGCTCACTTTCCTCAATTAAGCCAGCATTTCACGTGTACCTACTATGTGCGTGTGGTTTTGTAAAGCACCCATGGACTCAGCAGCAAGGGGAATGGGCCCGAGTGAGAGCATGTCTTCACTCTGCTGAGTGAGTCTGGTGAACAGTGGGTAGGAAGTTGTTCTGTGGGCCCTGAGGTTGTGGGGACCAGGGAAGCTGTGTCTGAAGGCTTGGGGTGATGTCGTGGCCTGTAAGTTAAAGGGTGGGCAGATAGCAGAGCATGCAGGCTGCAGGGAGCCCACAGGAACGGGTCTGTAGAAGGGCAGGGTGGGTGATCATAGCAGAAGGCAGGAATCTGGGGGTGGGGGAGCCCCTGGGGTCAGCGGGATACATAAGGCCTCAAGCAGCAGTGTTTGGTGTTTGTCCTGAGAGAACAGCAAGAGTAGTATTATATGGAGAAGCGGTCACAGTTACATGGGGAGAAGGGTCTGTCTGCTGTGTGGGGGGAATTTTCTGTGAGGATCTGAAGATGGAGGCTCTGGCCAAAGGCTCCGTGCTGTGAGGCTGAGAGGTTCAGGAAAACGGTCATGAGGGAGGTGGGTCTGGTAAGAATTCAAGGGTAGAGGAGTCCTAGACAAGGTTATTGAACGTGGGGGTTGAGAAGGTCAGAGTTGCTACTAGGGTTGGGCGTTGCTTTCCCAAGGTGGGGACATGGGACAGGGAACATGTTTGACCAGAGAGGAGACTGCAGCATCCCACCGTGGGCATTTTGAACTCAGAGCAGCAGAGGTAGAGAAGTGGGGATGATACAGGGCCGAGAGGCATACGACTTTGTAGCTTAAAATAAACCCAGGCGGGTAGCCACAAAAATGCACCCCTGTCATCAGGTGGATCCCCCGCAGGTGGTTCCAGGCCCAGCCAGCAGAGGGTCCCTGGCAGGTGGGGTGGGGCTAGAGCTCTGTGACCTTCACACTTCTTCCCGGAGCCCCCTCTCGGTGGCAGTAAGTGGCGGCAGTACTGTCTTCCTCAGTCTAGCCAGGAGCACATGTTTGAGGATCCATTAAACTGAAAATAAAACATGTGGGCTCCTTGGAAATGAGAACTATGTTAAAACAAGGAGTTATTATACTTGTGTGTGAGCCAATGAAGAGCAGAAATACAGCCCCAAGGCACAGTATTGATTTGGTCCCGGGTGCTTCTCACAGCCAAATAAATCTGACATTCCTCCCTAGGAGTGCTGGCTGAGCGGATGGCAGGTGTCCAGCGGCCAGCCTCCTCACCCCACTCCAAGGTTAAGTCCATTCTTGGCCCAGGCCTTCTGACACCCCCCTCCAGCCTGTGCCGTACTGGTACTGGCTGCCCTTCCTATACACAGTGGTTCCAGGGACAATTCCAGTTGTGAGGCTGGCACCTGGCCAAGAACAGATGCCCTCTAATTAAACCAGGGACAGGCCCTCCCAGAAAAACCAAGGATTTGCTCTGCAGAACCAAACGTTGGAGACGGTGCTTCAAAACTTTGAGACGCAGCAGGGTTACGGAATTTGCTTGTTTCGTCCATCCAATCACCAGATTTATTGAGTGTTCAATGAACATCAAGTTCTAAGGGAGGTCTGGGGGGTACAGGTGTGAAACAGCGTGCCCTGTGGACCCCGAGAGGTCGGGCATGAAGCCGGGCATGTAGTGGCACACTTCCGAACCACTGTGGGCTGGGGTTGACGGGCAGACTCTCAGCACGGGTTCATGAGGGATGCGGATGTCTAGAGAAAGGGGGCTGTGGTGACAATGTGCCGGAAGAGCATGGTTAGAGACGAGACCCGTGGTGAGCAGAAAGCCAGGGCAGGCCACAGAGAGCCCACAGAGAGTACCCAGGGCTGAGCAGATGTGACAAATCGCTTCAGTTAGTTGGCTCAAAGGTAGATAAACAAACATTTCTTGATGAGAGAACGGAATGTGAGGAGGCCAAAATGACAGCTGGGTGTGACTCTTCAGAATGGGGCTGCTGAGAAGTGGGGCAGAGAAATGATGAGGCGATGCTTGCACAGTCCGTCAAAATGCATGATCATCCTCTCCTTCCCTCAGAATATGACATTAGACACTCAGCAGGTTAATTCCTAGGAAAAGATACTCCCCGGGTGAGCTGTTTCCCCAACATGACTCCATTTCTCTCTTACTAAGCTTCCCAGAGCACACAAATGCTGCAATTCAGCCCATGCTTAAACAAACAAACAAACAAACAAACAAAAAACACCTCAGCCCACCTTAAACTATGCCATCCATAGCCAAATTACTACAGCACTGTCACCACTGGCCACAGCATTGCGGTGGCACACGGGAAAATGTGGCTCAGGCTTCCTCAGCTACTGACTGAGTGTTTGCTGCGCATCACGACCTGCGTGCCCTGGGCACGGAGGATCGGCCAAGAGCAAGACAGCCATGGAGTTCCAGCCCACAGGGAGGACACACCTGGAATGAGTGACCTCAAGGGCAGTGAGCCTGCAGCTGAAGAAACACTGCGTTCTCAGGACAGCATATGAGGTCCTGGCCTGCGTCACAGGCCCCACGGATCTCGGAACAAGCGGGGATGAGGTAGCTGCAGAATGCATTCACAGGTTCCACTTGGCTCAAGTTTGGCCCAAGTGAGTCCCTCTGCCTGAGTAGCGCATTGCTGCTGGGGTCTGACTCCAAGGCTAGCTGTGTAGGAAGTAAGCGCAGGATCGGAGAGGAGAGAGGCAGTGAGGCCAGAGGGCAAGGGCCAGGTGTGCAGAGGTGGAGGGCTGCAGCTGGGTGTTTCCTCTTCTCAGGAAAAGCATCACGAAGGTTTCTGAGTTTGTTCTGCATGTGTGCGTGTGTATATGTGAGTGAACGCCCATATGAGTGTGCATGTGTGTGCTGTATATTCTCGTGTGTGTGCACGCGCGTGTAGGTAGGGGCTCATGTTAAGTCCCTCCCAGCCCTTTTGAACCAAACATGGCTGAGTATGGGAAGAGGAGTGAGGGCAGGGGCCAAGGTCAGCCTTCTCCTTCTGAACTCCAGCCTGAAGCTGGAGGATGGTTCCACAGGGCTCCCAGGGCTGGCTGTGGGTGGGGACCAGACTTAGAGATGCTGGGTGCATGGCTTGGATGAGGGATGGAGAGATCCACTAAAATATTTTCTGTGCCAAGAAAGACCGGGGACTTGGGTAAAGTGCAGACTCGTAGAGACCCTGCTGAGCAGTGCTGATTCAGAAAGTTGGGAGGCTCTCCCCTCTCTCCAACAAAGTGACTGTGAGACGGGTGTCCCCTTGAGAGCCCCTTAACGCCAGCGACATCCTGGCCTTATAACCTCATTCCCCTCTGCCTGAAATATGTGTCATTCCTGCAGAGTCGCGAATGAATCACGCTCCCGGCTGGGACCGCGCCGCGCCGCGCCGCGTCGCCGCCAGGGGGCGCCAGAGGCCTCGGCTATGAGCTCGGGCTTCTCCGCCCGCGGACGCCGCGCCCGAGCCGAGCCAGAGCGCTGCGGGCTCACAAAGCGGCCGGACGCGCGGCGGCGGCAGGTGCGCGGGGGGAACGAGCCGGGCAGCAGCCTTCCCAGCCACCGCGGCACAGGAACCCCAGCAACTCGGGCTCCGGGACTCGGGCGGGCCCCCAAGGTACGTGTCCACAGGACCCCGAGCCCCAACTTGGCGTATTTAGCATAGTTGGGACCTTCCCGAGGCCATTCCCGGGGCCGGTAGGGTCAGGGCCTGGGGGCATCTCTGCGCGCTCCTGTTGCGCAGAAGCCGCGGGCCGGGAGCAGGGAGACCTTTGCCTTAGCGAGGAATGGGAGGCCCGTCTTGAGGGCACCCACAAGCCCCCACCGGCCAGAGGCTGGGATGATGCTCAGAGCGCCGTTATCCCCATCCCTGACCCACAGCTGTGGTCTGTGGGAGTGCGGCTGGCATATTGAGCATCCGGGTTTTGGGGAGAGGTCCTGAAGCCCTTCATCCGAGAGCGGACGAGAGGGTCCTCTGTAGTTTGACAGCAGCCCCGAATCCGTCACCAAACCTCTGCGTCTGTAGCTGTCTCCGTTCTGGAGGGCTCTCCAGGTGCAGCCTCCGGGTCCCAGGTGTGCGAGGGACCACCCCGTCCCCGCTGTGAGCCGAGGTGCTGCGGCTGGTGCGCGTCCCGAGGCGCCCAGACCCCCGGTGGGAGCGAGGTGCTGTCCCCGGCTCACGCCGTGTACCCTGCCCCCAGATGCCAGCGATCGTGGCGCTCGCGGCGGCCGCCGCGGCTTGGTGCTTCCTCCAAGTGGACAGCCGGCACCTGGACGCGCTCGCCGGCGGCGCGGCCCTCAACAACGCCAATTTCCTAGACAATGACCAGTGGCTGAGCACCGTCTCCCAGTATGACCGTGACAAGTACTGGAACCGCTTCCGAGATGTGAGTATGGCCGCCACCCGCCCTGGGGGTGGAACAACGGGGAAGCTCAGAGGCAGGTGTGGGGGTAGGGTGGTAAATTCGAACCTCCCACGGAGGGCCACAGTGCATACGTCTAGCCCAAGAGAGGAACTTTAAAGAGAACTTGGAAGGCCGGGTGCTCTTGCGTGTTACCTGTGGTCCAGGTGTGTGTACTTGCAGGATTGATGGCAGCTGTCCGCACAAAAACAGGGCGCGAACCTTAAGCAGCTCGGGGAGCAGAGCTCGGCAAGTGTCTGAGAGCTCGCGGTGGTGTCTGAGGGCTCCCGATGACTTTCGCAAGCCCTGAAGGGGAGGTCTCAGGAGCGGCAGCGATTTGGAACATCTTTAGGGTGCGTCAGGAAATAAAAGAAAAAAACAACCCAGTGGAGGAGCATAGCTCATTCATTAGGGAGCCAGATGCGGCGGGCGTGAGGGGAGGACTTGGGGGGTCTCATGGCAATGAGCTTGCTGAGATGCAGTGAACCACAGTGCTGAGGTTTGGAGTCTCCCAGACTTTAGTGGAAGGGAGAAGGGAGCAGGCAGCTCAGGGAATCGGTCCCCAGCCCCTGAAGAAGAGTGCTGGGTGGGGTGTGGGGGAAAAGCTCTCAGGCATCGGGGGTACTTCTGTGTTGTTTCTGCCTCAGTCCTGACTGCTACGTATCTCTGCGCCCCCAGAAGATGGGGAAAAGAAACACCTGGCACTGTCATTCAGGCATATGGCGTCCCTTAGCCCTCAGCAGGACCTGCTCCCAGCCCCTTCAAAGACCCTCACCCCCACCCCGCAGGTCAAGGGGTCAAGGTCCAGCAGACACTAGGACTCCTTGTCCCCAAGATGCTTTCGATATTGTAAAAATGTCCAAGACTTATAATGAGTGAAGCCTTTTATGTTCTAATGCATTGCTGTTTTGTTTCTATGCAGCAGTTTAGATGTTAGAACATTTTTTTAAAAAAAGAAATATATATATTTAAAGGGGTAACCCTGAGACATACCACCGAACCCCTTCTTCTCATCACAGGACATGGCTTATATGTAGAGGTGGGTTTCTTAGAACCCCATTTTTGTATATCCAGGCTGTCAGGGAGCAGGTCTCTGGGGAGTTCAATGATGTCAGAAGTCCTGTGCTTTCTAAATAGCACCTGTCCAGGTCTCCCTCTCAGAGGGAGAAGCAACTTAAGCCTGCCTTGCTTATCTGCTCTCTCAGTCCCTTCTCTCCTTTGGCGGGTGGGTTATTCTGAAAAGAGGTTTTCAGACACACACTGAATAACCTTGGCTATTTAGGGTCGTTTGCAGCAGACCTGCCCACTGGATCCCACATAAAAAGATACTAGCTGCATCTCACAGTTCATACTAAGTTCTTGTAGCTGTCTATGAGGGCCAGATTGATGCTGCCGTTCCTGGCCAGGTGTGTAGTGGGGTGGAACATGGGGGAGGAATAGACATCGTTCTGTTTCCGCTTTAAATTATTACATCTCAGTAAGAGTCGAGGAGCCAGGCACCTGATGAACTCTTACAGACTTGGGCAAGTTGGGCTTGGCTTAGAGCAATGGTTCTCAACCTGTGGGTTGCAACTCTGTTTTGGGGTTCACACATCAGATATCCTGCATATCAGGTATTGACATTAAAATTCATAATAGTAGCAGAATTACCAGTAATGAAATAGCAACAGAAATAATTTTATTGTTGGCTGGGGGGTCACCACAGCATGAGCAACTGTTTTAGAGGGTCACGGCATCAGCATTTAGAGGATGGTCCACCTTTGCCAGGTGCCTGGGAGCAGGGAGTGGGTGGGATGGAAACACTTCTCCCTGCCGGATCTCTGGGGTTGTGGGAAGGTCGGCATCTCAGGATGCCATGAGGATTAAAGTCCTAATTCCCATTTAGCTTTGCATTTTAGGGAAATGAGCAGCTTATTTCTTATTTTTCCTTTGAATGGTCCTGACATAAAAAAAAAAAAAATAGACCAAAGCCGATGCTGAGACTCATAGCCAAACTTTGGACAGAGTGCAGGGAATCTTATAGAAAAATGGGATATAGAAAGACCTGGAGGGGACAGGAGCTCCACAAGGAGAACAACAGAGCCAAAAATCTGGGCTCAGGGGTTTCTGCAGACACTGATGAATCAACCAAGGACCATGCATGGAGATAACCTAGACCTCTGCTCAGATGTAGCCCATGGAAGCTCAGTCTCCATGTAGGCTTCCTAGTAAGGGGAACAGAGGATATCTCTGACATGAACTCAGTGGCTGGCTTTTTGATCACCTCCCCCGGAGGGGGGGGTGCAGCCTAGCCAGGCCACAGAGGAAGACAATGCAGACAGTCCTGATGAGACCTGATAGGCTAGAGTCATATAGAAGGGGAGGAGGACTTCCCCTCTTAGTGGGAGGAGTATAAGGGGAGAAGAAGGAGGGAGGATGAGACCAGGAGGAGATGAGGGAGGGGCTACAGCTGGGATATAAAGTAAATAAACTGTAATAAACAATAATAATAAAGAAAAAAACATAGACCATTCCCCCCCAAATATGACTGATGGCGAAACTCAGGTTGCTTAACTGAGCTGAGGCATCCAGGCTTTTCCTCTGTAGACCTGGGCTCCTTTTTGAGGGTGAGTGCTATGGTTCATGCTTTAAACAAACAAACTAGCAAATTCTTAGCATGGTTAGGAACACTGCTTTAATGGTTGTTTTGAAGAAAGGTCCAAGGTTTAATCACAGAGAAGGGAATCTTCTAGAACAGGTTTAGTTGCCAAACTAGTGCTTTAAGCAGCGTATAGTTTGTTAAAATGACAATTTGGTCCAGCAAACCATTAAAAACACCCAAAGATATTAAAATACTTGCAAACGTCATCAATCATCAACCATTTTCTATGCTTCATGGAGTCATGTGATCCCTCACTGGCTCAGATATAATTGAATGCCATTAACCCCTTTGAAGCATTGTGAACTCACATTAGGTGTCCTTTTGGGGCAAACCTAACCGTCTTAGGTTGAGTCTTTTAAATGGAAAAGCCTGGGCCCTCAGGGGCCAAGGAGAAGGAGGCTGCTTTCTCCAGAAATGGGCCACTCTAGGGAACACAGATGAAGCCTACCTATCGTGGCGGCAGGCCGGCCAGCCTGATCACTTCCGGTGAGCCTGGCCTTGTCCCAGGTTGCCAAAACCTTAGCTTCTTAGGTATTATTCTGGGGCTTTTTGTTTTGTTTTCCGAGATAGTATTTCTCTATGTAGCCCTGGCTATCCTGGAACTCGCTTTGTAGACAAGGCTGGCCTCAAACTCACAGATATCTTCCTGCCTCACCCTCCTGGGATTAAAGGCGGGCAGATATCTATGAGTTTGAGGCCAGCCTTCCAGGATTAATCCCAGTTTGCCTGGGATTAAAGGCGTGCTCCATCATGCCTGGCTGGGCCTTTTTGTGTTGAAGCCTCTGATCACTTTAAAAGATTATGGTCAAGATGCATATCATGAGAGAAAATTACCCATCCCCCACAGCTCATTACTTTGTTGATCCCCCACAGCTCATTACTTTGTTGGACTTGGGCGATAGACATTTAGAAGTGACTTTTGATCTTGAGAAGCTAAAACCAAGAGTTAGCTTACCCCTTTGTTTTGTCTTATTTTGAGGTTTTGAGACAAAGTCTACTGTAGACCAGCCTGGTTTGGAACTCATTACTTTGCCAAGACTGACTTTGAACTCTTGACCCTCTAATCTAGCTAGCAGAGATGCCTCCCCAGCGCTGGGATTGTAGCTGTGCACCACCATCCTTTTTCAGAGAGGTTCACACCCTCTGGGCCAACTTGGAAATGGAGATGATGGTGGGATGTGTTCCTTGCTTTCCTGACCGTCGAACGTGCCATGACTTTGCTGAAGACGACCTGGCAGCCCCTGAACTGCCGCTTTCTAAAGTGTCTTGTTGCTCTGAGCACAGGAATAGTCACTCTCTCCAGTTAAACCATTAGGACGACCTCATGGCTTCTTGGCCGGAGTTAGGGATCCAGTAACGACATAAAACCACCCAGGTAGGGGCTCCTCCATGCGCCGTGGTTCCCCTATGTGCTCATGGTTATTTAGCTTATTTATTACTCTATGAAGACTAGAAATTGGGATGTTTTGGCTGAAGGGAGGTCTGGACCTTTGCACAATTACATCAAGAAGGGAACTATGAGCAGGGCAGCTGAACACGTGAGATCATGCCCCAGACCTGAGCAAGGCCAAGCCAGACCACATCCTGGCATGGAGAGAGGAGCTGGGCACAGAGCCCCACCCCAAGCCGTGGAGCTCTTGGCGACTGTCATTTGCTGGGAGGAGAGGCAGTTTTCTCTAAGGCTGTAGTTGTAAGCTGACCACTCTTACGGACAAGATGACCAAGCCAGGGGTATTTGGGAAGTACAAATTAGTCCTGAGGGATTGAAACCAAAGATAATGGGTTTGATGGGTAGGGAATGGGTGAGTCTAAGAACAACAGTGTCAAGAGGAAGACACACAGAAAGCAAGCCCTTGCGGGAATCTGCACAGCACGGGCCCATCTCCAGCCAGCCCCTGTCCGACTTCCCCACGCCCTGAGCTTGAGGCAGCAAAATGTCCAAATCTGAGTCAGCTTTGACTAAGTTCCCTCTATTCACTCCTACATTTCACTCATTCTTGTCGATATCTGACTACTTCATAAATATGAGGCTGTGACCTGTAAAAGAGCAGGTTTCATGGAATCCCTTCTGTCCTACCACCCCAGGACGACACTAACTTAGGCAGTTGCACGATTCTTTCAAAGTCTATGTTCTTTTAAAAAAGAAGTTTTTTCTTTTTTCTTTTTTTTCCTCTCATAAAGATAATACCCACTGGCTGTAAGGAAAAGATTCAGCATTGCAGAAACAATGATGATAGCAAACATTTGTGGAGCAATCAGTGTCAGGCATTGTTCAAGGTACTTCCTCTGTGTTATACTGCCTGCAACAATCCAATGAAAAAAGTACTACCACCCTCCCCGTTCA